AGTCAGGAGAAGAATAGAGGAGAGCAAGAAAAGAGATACCATAATAGAGGGAGTCATTATAGGTTTAAAGAGAAATCTGGCACTAAGGAAATGTCCAGAGATCTACAAGGTTGATCCCAACTAACAATCTAAGCAATAGTGGAGAGGCTACCTTAAATGCCCTTCCCTAATAATGAGATTGATAACTACCTTATTTGCCATCCCAGAGCCTTCATCCAGCAGTTGATGGAAGCAGAAGCAGACACCCACAGTTAAACACTGAGCTGAACTCTGGAATCCAGTTGCAGTAAGGGAGGAGTGATGAGCAAAGGGGGCAAGACCAGGCTGGAGAAACCCACAGAGATAGCTGACCTGAACAAGGGGGAACTCATGGCTCTCAGACTGATAGCTGGGAAACCAGCATAGGACTGTTTCAGACCCGTAAACAAGGACGTCAGTTCTGAGGTCTGGTTAATCTATGGGGCCTCTGGTACTGGATCAGTATTTATCCCTAGAACACGAATGGACTTTGGGAGCCCGCTCCACATAGAGGGATACTCTCTCAGCCTAGCTACACGGGGGAGGGTCTAGGCCCTGCTCCAAATGATATGACCAACTTTGAAGATCCCTCATGGAAGGTCTCACCCTCCCTGGGGAGCAAAAAGGGCATGGGATAGGGAGTCAGTGGGGTAGAGGCAGGGCATGAGGGGAGGGAGAGGGATTGACAAATAAGATTGTTTCTAATTTAAATAAAAAAGCATAACAAAACAAAATTCCTTTCTCATTAAGCATGTGTGAATATGAAGGCACAAATATATAAACATAACCTTTTGATCCATTTCTGTTGGTTGTGTGTATATGGTTTAAGGACTGAACACATGGTATTGGATATGCAATTAGGGAGCTCATCCCCCTCCTGAGGCTAATTATCCCAACTGCAGGAAAATTCCACTCTTTAATGAGCAATAAGAGTCTGGTCACAAAGTGATCTAGGCTGCCTTAATCAGGAAACATTATCTAGAATAGGAAATGTTATCAAGAATAGAAGAAGATGGGGTGGCAAATAGCTTATTAACAATCACAGGTGCCATGGCCCTGAAGGCCTGGAGCTGCAGGGAAGATTATGGACACTGTCCTGAGCCAGTCACAGTCTCCCTTTGGTCCGTGGTCCTCCCAACGTACCCCATTGACAATTTTCATCTTGGATGACTTCCAAAATCCTGAAATTCCTACCTCCACTTCCTAAGTACCATGATTAAAGGCCTCTGCCACCATGCCTGGCCTAGGTGGCTTCAACTTCATTTAGTGAGGTATTAGAATGATGGGATGAGTAACATGAGGAGTTGTACTGAACTATATTCACAATCTATTTATCTCTGTGAGCCTGGGTTTCAACATCTGCGGAATAATACAGAACTCTTCCCAGGTGCTTTAATGAGTTATAACAGGCTCAACGATGAGGAAAATTAATATTCCTCATAGTTGGAAGACAGTGAAATTTAATGCAGAAAGGCTACATTTGATGGGAATCTTCTTCTGTTACTGGAATTAGGACCAGAGCCTGTGTCCTGACTACCCTAACCAGCCAGGCTCAGTCATCCATCCTCCGTAAGTCAATTAAATGAATCAAGCTATCTAGTGACATGCCCAACTATAATGCAGGGACTCTGAAGTCAAGATGGACAGATTTCTCTGGTGTCCTGGGACAGCCTAGTCGATAGTGTGAGTTCTAGGCCAGACAGGGAGTCACAGTAACATTATTCTTAAAAAGAAGAAGAGAAAAAAAATGGAATTGGGGTGCATGATATGAAACTCCCAAAGAGTCATTAAAGTTATTTAAAAAAATAAGCACCAGGATTGTACACATAGTTTTACTTGGCTGAATTAGAGACAAAGACACTTTTGGATTCTGGCTTAATTAATTCTGTTTAATCTCTTTGTCACCTAATTCTTAACCTAGGGCCCCCACATTCACTTAAACACATATATCTCTCCATACTTACATAAGACTGAAAATGCATCCTAAATTTAAATAATCTGAACTCAAAACTCCTAACTTCCAAACAATGAATAGGAAATGTCCATTTCAATGATTGTAAGCAAGAGCTGCATTTGTTAGCAGATTTCACATTTGCTGCAATACATAAACATTAATTTAGACATACATTAGGGGGAAATAACTGGAAAATAAATGATATTTTACTGGGCACATACCTGTAATACCAGCTCTTGTAATGTAGCAGGATTACCCCAACTATGAAACCAGCCTGGTCTACATAGAAGAACTCCAGGAAAGCTACCCAGAAAAACTAGCTCAAATATATTCATTAATTAAAAGTTTGAAAACAGGGCAAGTGTAATTTATCTAAAACATTTTTAGGATTTGTGACAAAAAGAAAGACACCTCCTTACATATATTCAATTCTATCCACAAGAAAAACTTGAATCTTTATTCAAAGATAGGATACATGAAACAAAAAAACTTAAAAACTAAGAAAAGAAGTCATCTAACAGCACAATTATGCTACTGTAAGAAAACCCACAGATGAAGTAAAAATTAATACAAAAGATTTATTGGGCAAAGGGTTCGATCTACATACAAAAATCATACAAAAGAAAAAAATTTCCAATATCAAGTAAGTATTTCTAAGGAAGGGAGCAGCATAGTGGTACAGCAACTGCCTAGCATGAGCCCTGCCTGGGTTTCACTCCAAGATGAAAATTGCCTGGAGTAATAGGGAATCTAAGATATGCAAAAAAATCATAATGCTAAAAGCAAATAAGATATTTTAAAAGGAAAGCTGAGAAATGATGATGATTTTGAACTAATTTGTGTAGACATGGGCCATAAATCACACAGACTGGAATGAAAAACATCTTTGAATCAAACCATATATGCAGTATGAAAGAAGGAGCAACATTTTCACATTCTACATGTACAAATCATAAGCTGTGTCGGGGTAAGAGCATCAAGACAAGGCCATCTCAGGTGAATATGGAATTGAAGGCCACCTTGGCCCACTAAAGACCAGTACTTGGGAGTCAGAGGAAGGAGGATCTGTCTATGAGTTCAAAGTCAGCCTGGTCTATATGCAAGTTACAGGACAGCGAGGGCTAGAAGGAATGTGTCAAAAAAATCAAACCAAATCAAAACAAGGTCTATTTTCATTACATCAAAATAGTAAAGTCCCTTGTTACTTAATCCTAAACAATCTTTAAAATTTTCAGTGTCGCTGGGCGTTGGTGGTGCATGCCTTTAATCCCAGCACTCTGGAGGCAGAGGCAGGCGGATCTCTATGAGTTCAAGACCAGCCTGGTCTACAAGAGCTAGTTCCAGGATAGCCTCCAAAGTCACAGAGAAACCCTTTCTCGAAAAAAAAACAAAAAATTATATGATAATGAATCCAACAGCATAGATGGCATCACTGAAAATAAGAAGGAAGAAAAACATACATCCAAATATATATATCATTCCCCCTTAAACAAGAAGGACAAGATTCTAATCAAAACCAAACTACAAGAAATAACTGTCCATCACTCATCCTGTACACCCTACTCTCTCCTTTGCCAATAATAAAAAATGGGCTGTGTGAGGAGCGTGTTTCACCAAAACTGGAGAGATTCTCTTGAAGCCTTCTGAGATTTTAACTTTGTAGAAAGTAATTTTGACTACTAAGAGGATCTCATTCTCTTATTATAAAGAAAAGAATGTCTGTTAGGTCACTTAGACAACATTTTGTTTCCTGTGATTGGTAATTGCCTGTAAGTCTGCATCAGAGTGAAAAAATGAAAACTTTTTTAAAAAATTCAAGAAAACAGATTTTTAAAGAATCAGTGTACACCTGAAGCAACTTGGTTTTCTCTAACTGCTTTATAAGATACAAGCATTTTTGAAAACAAGTTTATAGCTATTTTTATGTATGTTTGTGCATGAGAGAATGTATTCTGTATGTATATAGGTGACATACAAAAAAGAGGGTGCCAGATACCCTGGATCTGGAATAGTAAATAGTTATTATGAACCTCTCGACTTGAGTGTTTGTATCTGAACTCAGGTCAAAAGAATGTGCTGAGCCTCCTGCCAAGGCTCATATACGTTTTATTCATTAAATCAAAAGTTTCTCAGAGATTAACAACAAGAACAAAACCTAAATAAATAAACAGATAAATAATTAAGATGTCAGTTTATGGTAAATTTGCAGCATAAGATGAACATAGTACAACAAAAATGCCCAACAATTTATAAAAGGAAAGCTGATTACAAAACTACATTAGCAGTGGAAACACTCAGAATGATCACTAGGATTATGATTGACAGATTGACATAATATGACTTCTTTACTTTCCACAAAGCTACAACAATCAAGAATATGTACAATATTTATGATATAATAAAGGGGATGGAGAGAAAAAGACAAGAACAGAGGCAGAAAAAATATAGTCAATTATTAATCAAAAGACCAAAGAAAACTTAGCCAGGAAAAGTGTGATCTTGACCAATATTATCCAGCTACTTATGATTCTATGTGTATAGACATTAAATAAACACAAACTTCACAATTTTCACAAAATTAACTCAGAGTACCCCTTAAACTGTTGTTTCTGATCCTCTGGCTACTGACAGTTCTTCCAAAGACAGAAACCCCATGCTGTGGAGCTCTCTCCGCAAATGGACAAATGGCGGTGATCTCCTGCTATGGCTCTGCAGCCCTTTGTCTCCTTGTGTTTTCAGGTAAACTCAATCCCCACTGATGCCCTATCCCAAAACAACATAGAAGAATAATTTAAAATATGCTTCCTGCCACACATGGATTATGGCACAAGATGCGGCATCTGCTCTGTCTACCTGCCCTACATCATGCAAATGTAAGATACCTCTACAGTTCAGAAATTCCCTTTGTTCCCTGGACCTAAGCTTCACTGAATCATACCATTGTGGCTGCTGGTAACAGAAAGGTAAAAGCATTCTAATCTTGTATTGCTGAAAGATGATCCACTTCACCATCATTCTACAGCTTCTAAACTAGTTGTAACATTTATAAGACAAGCCTGAAAGTGGAATGCAATATTCAGACCTTCTAGAAAGCAGAATATCAGTTTTCCAATCTGTCTTCCCATTGTACACTAAAAGCAGAGTCTGTATGTACACAGTGAACATATTAAACCAGAAAAGTAACAGTTCTGTCAGGCAGGGCCGCAACATTATACCCAGATCTATTTTAGTTGAACTAGTATAATCATAGCAATTTGGTTTCATGATAAGGTCAGTCCTTTAACCAGATTCCTGATTGTCCTGGTCTGTGGACCACAAGAAATGGAGCCAATCAGGACATTAATGGAGCATCTATAATTGACTGATTCCACAATGCGAATCTCAACTTCTGTTCTCGGCCTCGGTCCTGTCTCTCCCTTTCTGCAACTTCAAAGTTGGTCAATGAATTCAATTCTTTCACAGGTTCCTCTTCATTTATAAGTCCCTACTAAAAGCCAGAGAGACTAAAAGGAACTCATTAACTGGTCTGTTTTTCCCTCTTACTGACTAGTCAAGGCCCAGGATGAAGGAGTTGCAGAGGCAAGATTAGGTTCTAAAAAAATTCTCAATTACATAGCAGGAGACCATCTTCTACACAGAAATCAATAATCAATATAACTTGAGAGAAAAAGAATGAAACTAGAATGGCCTAGAAACATTGGAGAACAGAAACAAATATATATAAGAGCTGTTGAATACTTAGAGAATAATAGAGCTAGGAAAAATGTGTTTATGAGCACTATTGTTGCCCAGCACATCTTACTCAGTGGACAGGAAAAAAACCCAGCTGCATTATTCAAGGTTCTCTACATGAACAGGACTGGTAGAATGAATCTCTTCATGTATGTAGGAAGTGAATTTATTATAATGTCTCACAAGCTGTGGTTAGTCCAGGTATTCCACAGCAATGGAAATTGGAAGAGTCCAGGAAGTTGCTCAGTTTATGAGGCTGGATGTCTCAGCTGGTCTTCAGTATACACCAAAATTCCAAAGAAGTAGGCTCTAATACTAGTAATGGTAGCCGGAGATAGGACAAGCTGGCAAAAAGAGAGAACTTCCTTCTTCAATATCCTTATATGTCAGCTGCTACTAGAAGGTTTGATCCAGATTAAAGGTGGATCTTATTCTGTTTAATTCAAATTTTTTGGTGTTTTTGAGACAGGGTTTATCTGTGTAACACTGAAACTCATTCTATAGACCAGGCTGGCCTCAAACTCAGAACATTCAACTGACTCTGCCTTGTGAGTACTGGGATTAAAGGTCTACACTGCCACAATCAGTTAAAGGTGGATCTTATCACCTCAAGTGATCCAGATTAAAGACAGATCTTTAATTTCAAAACCTTGAAGAAAAATCCCTCACAGGTGACCCAACTCTTTGGGTTTTAGTTAATTGCAGAGGTAGTCAGTTTGACTAACATGAACAATCATCACAACAGCCAAGACAGAGAAGTGAGAAAGACCTCTTACCCACAGGAGGCAAGGAGAGCATGGGAGTTATTTCCAAAGCAATGTGTTTCCTAATCAAAGGAAGCATGTGGTTTTTACTTAGGGAGTCTGGACACATTCGTGTAGAGTTCTGCCTATTCCTAAGTATTTGCAGTTAACAAATCCACCTCTGAACATGATCACAATGTAAAATCAGAGACATTCTTATCTCAAAGTCATGCAGGAACACATATAAATTATAAAATGATGGGATAAAATGCCTCCGGCATGTTCATCTTGAACCACAAGGTCTTGGCTGAAAATCAAGTAAATGACACTGCGAAAAGTAGATTGCTTTGGCGCCTACGCTACCTGTCAATCTTAATATGTATTCTAAAAGACAGATGTGCAATACCGCCATTCTCACATACACAAAAGATAGACAATGCAAATACAGAAAATGTCAAGGAAAAGCCACCTAACAGCACTGTATACTCTGTTCTTAGATTAATAGTAATGATGATCTCTATTAACTTCAGAACAAAGCAGGCTGGTTTGGCAGAAGGCCACAGCTGCTTCCATGCAAGACCAGAAAGAGTTCATTTTAACTAGCCCTGGCTTACTGTCTGTGTCAGGGCTGTGACATTGCTGTAAAGAATTTCATTCTTTCCTTTTTCTTTTTTTTTAACATGCATTCAAATAACTTTCTTTTTTTTCCAGTTTAAATTTAGACATTCTTTCCTTTTTCTAACTTAAAAAAAAAGCTATATGGTGTTTCGCCTGTGTGGTTTACATCATATAGGTACCACCCAGAAGTGGACAGTTGCAGCATTACAACACCATTCTGGGACAACCCTGAAAGATACTGGCAAAGAGAAATCTTCACAGGGGAGAGAAGCTCAGACAGTGCACATCATCATACAGTTTGTTTGAATGGGAAAATGGCTAAATGTGCAACTACTCGATGATTACTGGGCTGTAGTCAATGGATTGACTGGATATTCAGGGACCTGGAAAAAGCATGATTGGAAAACGGATGAGAAAGTCATCTGGAGAGGTCTCACCAAATAGGCAAAGGGTGTGAAAATACTTGTATCCCATGTAAATGCTCACTAAAAGATGACTTCAGCTGAGGAGGAGTTCAATAGTCAAGTAGACAGGATGAGTCTTTCTGTGAACAGTCAGCCTCTTTGCACAACCATTCATGTCATTGCCCAATGAACCCATGAACAGGGTGACCATGGTGGCAGAGATGGGGGTTAGGCATGGGCTCAACAACATGGACTTCCACTCACTGTGGCTGACCTGATATTCGGGTTTTGGATTTGCCTTTCCTGCATGCAATGTTTCTGCCAAAACAAACATTCATCGATTTAGAAAATGTCTTCTCCACTGACACGGTATTCCACACAGTATTGCTTCTGACCAGAGAAGCAGGTCAGTTGGTCCACGATCATGGGATCCACTGGTCTTACCATGTTCTCCAGCATCCCGAAGAAATGTAGCATGATAGGAAGATAGAATGGCCTTTGGCCTTTTGAAGACACAGTTACAGTACCAATTAGGTGGTAGCACCTTGAGGGCAGGGTCAGGGGTCTCCAGAAGGGAGTACATGCTTTGAATCAGCATCCAATATATGGTATGGTTTCTCCTATAGCCAGGATCTATGGATCCTAGTGACTCACTAGGAAAACTTGGCTTCCCATATTCACAAATCTAAATTCTGCTGGCCTGGAAGTTTTGGTTCCAGAGTCGGCAGTGTTCCTGCAAGGAGCCACAGCAAACATTCCATTGAACTGGAAACTCAGACTTCCTCCTGGTCATTTTTGGGCTTCAAAAACCCTTAAACCAACAGACTAAGAAAGAATGAAAGCATTAGAAGGGGTGATGTATCCAGATTACCATGGAGAAATTGGATTGCCTCTCCACAATGGAGATAAGGGTTAAGTCTGGAGTGCAGGAGATCCTTTAGGGCATCTCTTGGTACTGCTAGGCCCTGTGATTAAAATTAATGGGAAACTTTAACGATCGAATCCAGGAAGTCTCCTGCTGTATACACGGGTCACCTGCTGCACACAGTCATCTCCTGCTGTACACATGATTCTCCTGCTGCACACCGGGGGGTCTCCTGGCCAGGAAGAGGGTCCTCGTGCTGCCCTTGCTGAGGTTGCCAAGCAGCTTCTGGGATTGCAATCAGAGGAGCAGCACCGCCCTCCAGTCCAACACAGGCCTTGGCAGAAGACAACAGGGAGGGTTGGGAGGTGGGAGTGGCGGCCACCACCCAGTGCAGCCTGGGGCTCCAGAGGATCCCGGTGAAGTCTGAGCTGTGGGAGCAGAGAGGCCACAGGAGTCCAGGGAACTGCAGGTAGCTGGGGGGCACCCACCGGGGTCTCAACGTGGTCAGGGCTTCCTGGGTGTGTCTCCGAGCAAACTATGCAGTGTGGGGTAGGGGTGGGGACTCCTGGGTACCTCCCGTCCCTGACCGGATGCCTGTTCTCTGCCTGACAGCCTCGTGTGAGGCCCGGGAGCGGGCAGGTCACGTGCGCCAGCAGGGCGGGTGTGGGAACCCCGAGGCTCTCCTGGGGTCGGAGCCCCGTTGCTGACTCAGGCGGAGAACAGGGATCTGTCCCAACAGGCGCAGCTCAGCACCCTCAGACTCCGCGGGCTCCATGGCGTCCCCCAGGGTCCAGATCCAGGCCGTGGTCACCGAGAGGCACAGGATGGGCGAGTGTCCAGTATGGGAGGAGGCGACGGGGCAGCTGGTCTACGTGGACATCCACGCGCAGACCGTGTGCCGGTGGGGCCCGCACAGCACGAAGGTCCAGGCGGTGCACCTGGGTGAGTGAAGGCGACAGGTGTAGTTGGGGGAGCACTGGGGTGGGGAAACTGTGGGCTGTGCGGGAGGGGGCCAAGGGGGAGAGGAGCGCTCTGGGCCATGGAGCCAGGAGCGGGGAGGGTAGTGCTGGGTCTGGGGCCGTGGAGAGAGCTGAGGTGGCAGGCAGCGCTGCGGGGGGGGGGGTGTAGTGAGGAGCCCTGGGCCTCGGGAAAGGGGGTAGTGGGTACCGTTAGAGCTTCAAAATAGGGGAGAGTGGGAAGCCTTGGATCTGGGGCAGAGGAAAGTGAGGAACCCTGGGACTCAGAGAGGGGAGTAGGGAAGTGGGGAGCTTTGGGCATCAGGTAAAGAGAAAATAGGGAGACCTAGGCCTCGGGGAGGCGGAAATGGGCAGCCCTGCGCATTGCATGTGGGGGGTGGGGGAGCCCTGTGTCTGGGGGGAGCTCTGGCCCTGGGGGTCATGGAGTGGGGAGCGCTGGACCTCGAGGCGGGAGTCGGGGGGGCGGGAAGCCTTGCGCCTTGGATTGGTGGAGAAGCCCTGGGTCACAGGCGATCTCTAACCTAATTTCCTCCCAGCCCCTCCTACGTGCATCTGTCTCCCCAGGACACCGGGTCGGATGCGTGGCCTTGCGCGGCCAGGACAAGGGCGGCTACGTGGTGGCTGCTGGCACCTGCCTGGGCTTCCTGGACTGGGACTCAGAGCAGGTGCAGTGGGTGGCTCAGCTGGACAGACAGAAACCCCACAACAGGTTCAACGACGGCAAAGTGGACCCCGCGGGGAGGTTCGTGGCAGGTGGGCTTCCAGAACCCCGGCTGTAGTCACGTGGTCATGGGTGCCCTGTCCCTTGGGTGACACAGGGGTGGGTGGGGAGCGCTCCATGGAGACCAGAGGGTCTGTCCGCCCTCCTCTGGCTTCTCCTGCCTTCTGGGGAGCACCCACCCGATGCCCACGCAGGCCCGGGGACACCTGGTCAACCGGACAGACCCCAGGACTCTGTGTGGACAGTTTTGCAAACCAGAGCCTGGGCTGGGACAGTTGGGCGTCAGCAAGGGCCCCGCCCGCGCGGGGGACTGAGACAGAGGGTTGGGTGCAGAGTCAGGGTCGGGACCTTTCACCGGCTCCAGGGAGGGTCCTTCCCGCATCTTACAGCTCCTGGGGTTCCGGGTGTCCTTGGCTGGTGGCCCTGTCCCTCCATCTCCGCGGTCTCCTCTTCTGTCTGTCATGTCAGTGTCACCCAGACTGCCGAGGTCGCCCCATCTCTGCCCTCTGCCCTCCACAGGCGCCATATCCTCTGCCCTCTGTAGGCACCATGCCTGAGTACTAGGTCCTCTGCCCTCCGCAGACACCATGCCCTCTGCCCTCAGGCACCATGCCAGAGCCCTTGGCCCCCGGCGTGTGGGAACCCGCCCAGGGATCCCTGTACTCGCTGCAGGGGAACCACTCGGTGCTGCGGCTGGCCGACCGGCTGGGCATCCCCAACGGGCTGGACTGGTCGACTGACCAGCGCACCTTCTACCACGTGGACAGCCTAGACTACGCGGTGCATGCATACGACTATGATGTGCAGGCCGGCACCATCGGTGAGCACCCGGGCCCCCACGCGGGACTCGGGGACAGGCCGCGGGACTCGGGTGGCAAGCGGATGCGAGAGGCAACATCACTAGGATACAGAGGAACCGGACAGGGACACTGCAGACAGTCAGACAGACAGATGGGGGATTGATGAACAGAGTTGGGTGGAGGACCCCCGGACTGGGGAATTGGGCGGAGCGGGAACGCACAGCCTGCGCAGGTGCAGGGCTGTCTGTGTTCCCGGGAGCCTGGTGTCCGTGTGTCCAGCTGTCCGTGTGCCTTGGTGTCTGTGTGCCCGTGTGTCTAGGGGCAGCAGCTGAAACAAAGTCGTCCTCTGGGCCCCATGAGGGGCCTATGCAGCCGCAGCAGGTTCTCTCCCTGAGCGGCCGCCCATGTCCCTGTGTCGCAGGGAACCGCCGGCTTCTGTTCCAGCTGCCGCCTGGGCGAGCCATGCCTGACGGGCTGTGCGTGGACAGCGTAGGGACGCTGTGGGTGGCCTGCATCGACGGCGGCAAGATCATCCGCCTGGATCCACAGACAGGTGCGTGACATTAGGGCCACGTCGTCCTGTGCGAGGTCACGGTGTGGGTCCTGGACGTGGAGGGGTCAGGTGAGTGGAACCGAAGCATTCGAGGGCAGGATGCCCTACCCACCATGCTGAGACAGGCCCAGGGAGGGGGGGCTCCAGGTGTCCTAGGCTTGAGTCCCCACCCCGACATCTTTCTCTTTCGCCCCTTCTGGAGACCCCCGTACCGAGGATGGGGGGGGTTGTGAATAGCTGAGTGTGGGCGGGGAGCAGTGAAGACAGGGATGGGAGGCAGGGCGAGGTGGAGGGGAGGGCAGAGAGATGGGGATGGGGGAGCGAAGACGGAGTCGGGTGGAGACTGTCTGGGCGCCGGAGCAGGAGCATGGCAGAGGACCCGGGTCCACCCTCGGCTTGCAGGGTCGTGTCTGTGCACCGTGGACCTGCCTGTGACCAGGGTCACGTCATGCTGTTTCGGGGGCCCCGACTACTCGGATCTGTATGTGACTTCGGCAGCTGATGGGTTGAGCCAGGAGCAGCTGCAGAGGGAGCCCCAGGCTGGTCACGTGTTCAAGGTGGTTATGGAGCCTCTTGGGAGGGGCAGAGAGGGAACCCCGTGGGTGGGGAACCCCGTGGGTGGGAAGCCCCGTGCCAAGGGCCAAGAGGGAACCCCATGGGTGGGGAGACCCGAGAGAAGCCCCATGGCCGGGAAACGTTGCAGGGAACAAGGGGGAGGCACGAGGGGCTTCGTGTAGGAGCTGAGCCACCCCACTCCCTGCTGCGGCAGAGGGTGGGTATTAGGCTGCTGGAATTTCCCGTGACCACCTAGGTCCCTCCACCTGCAGGTCTCTGGCCTGGGCGTGCGCGGTCGCCCGTGTTTTCCCTTCCTGGGCTGAGGCCGCATGCGCAGCTGCATTTCCCAGAAGGATATGGACAGTACCCGTAGCTGTTGCTGCACCCCACGCGGGACCCGGGACTCGCTCACTCTGTACTCCGCGACCTTGGTGGAACCTTCCGGAATCCAAAGTCCGCGCCCCATCCCACCTGGTCATAACCTTAAATGCTGCTGTGACCTGAAGTGACAGTGTATGTTTGAGCGCATGTCCGTGGATGGGTAAATGGGACCGCGGGTCGCGGCGGGTCCTGGCTGCCGGCTCTGGTGACGCAACCGTGGCCAGGTGCACGCAGAACCTGGTAAAACACACTCATGCACTCACCCAGGCGGAAGTGCGGCCAACCTGGCCTCTAAGCTCACATCACATCATCGCATACATCACCGGTGGACAGGAGACTCCTCTGGAGTCTTCACCGGGTTCTGCAAGGGATGGGAGGGGCATCGCGTGAGCAGCAGCCGAGAGAGCCTCATACACACACACACACACACACACACACACACACACACGCACGCGCGCACGCGCGCAGACACGCCCACAGGCTTACACATTCGCACACTCACACTTACGCATGCGCACACACAGACACGCACATATGCACATATACATGCATACACACGCTTACACACATGAACACGCGAGCACACGCACACTTAGATGCGCACGCACACTCATACTCTGATGCTTGCGCATGCTTACACATTCACATACCTGTGCACACGCATGCTCGCAGGTTCAGACCTGCTCCGTTATGAACACCAGTTCTGGACTCCGGGTCTCCGTGTCCGTGGACTTCACTATGTGTGTCACGCTGTGTCACGAGAGACGGGGCGGGCTCTCCCTCCCCTCTTTCCCAGGCTCAGCAGCCTCACTTTCAAGGAGCCTTTGTTCACCCTGCATGCTGTAATCTACAAGCAATTATATTTATGGCCGTGCGCGTCCTAATTACAGCACAAAAGAGAAATAAGCGTAAATCACACACACTTAACGCCCACGCGCTGATGTGTCAACACCTGACCTGGATTCGGGCCCTGTGTGATTGAGCCGTCAGCGACTTCAGGGTTCCTGGGTGAACCCAGGGACACCACTGCTTGTCAGCCTGTCCTAGGGAGAAATGAGCCTCCTGGGTCTCCAGCAACTGTGTCATGGAGGGTCTGCCGGAGTGGGGGGAGGGATTGGTGCCACTGGAGGGAGGGTCTGCCACCCACCAGGGAATGGACAGATGTCATTGTCACGGGAGGGTCTGCTACCAGCAGGGGGCATGGACAGATGTCTGCCACCCACTGTGTGTGTGGGGGGGATGAGTGTCACGGAGGGTGTGCCATCAACGAGGGACGGGTAGGGGGTAGGTAAACACTGAAGCGTGAATCACCCATGTTCCCAGGTTATTGGCCCCAGCGTGCGGGGGGGGTTCATGTGTTATGGCCCTGAGAATTTTCACTTCTTTACTGAATGTTAAAAAAATTGGAGCTTTACAGTTGGAAGAAACAATGACGGAAATCTGTCAGAATTTCATAGAAACAAACCTGTCTGAGAGGTGGTATAGGGAGGGACACAGGTAGGGTTGCAGGGAGGGGTGCAGGGAGGGGTGTAGCTGTAGGGTGTAGGGAGGGGTGAAGGGAGGGATCTAGGGTGAATGGAGGGGTGTAGAGCATAGAGAAGGGTGTAGGACTCAGGGAAGGATTCAGGGTGCATGGAAGGAAGGGTATAGGGGGGTATAGCTGTAGGCTGCAGGGAGGGGTGTGGGGGGGAGGGATGCGGGGAAGGGTGTAGGGTGCACGGAAGGCTGCAGGGAGTGGCTTAGGGTGAATGGAGAGGTGTAGGGGTGCAGGGAGGGGTGTAGCTACAGGTGCACGGAAGTACCATGCACTTGAGTCGCCCTGACACGCTCGCATGCACGCCTCCTTCCTCCAGTCCCAGTGTACAGGAACCTGCTTGAATTCCTCGTGTTTCATCATCGTAAAACAACAGGAAGAGAAACAGATGAGTCAGTCCTGTTTGGCGGGTTCGGGGGCGGTCCGGGTACTCAGTATGGCGATGTAAGGACTCATGAGAACTTAGCCACCAGCACTGCATGGCTCTTCAATCTTTTTAGTTCAGTCAACAAATGAGGTTCGACGTGTTGTACTTCCCATTAAGCGGGGCTGATTAGCATGTGTGTACAGAATTAACCCGGACTGATTAGCATGTGTGCACAGGATTACACGGAGCTGATTAGCATACACACACACACACACACACACACACACACACACAGAGTCAACTTTGTAGTGCACAGTAGGCCAGCCTCCTTGGATCTGATATGACACCCAGTGCTGCAAAGTCCCTGCTATGGAGGGAAACTCTTGCTGCGGTGGGGAAGTCTCCACTGTGTGTGTGTGTGTGGGGGAGACTCGCTGCAGTGGGGAAGTCTCCACTCTGTGTGTGTGTGTGGGATTCTTGCTGTGGTGGGAAGTCTGTGCTATTGTGGGGGACTCGTGCTGCGGTGGGTAGTCTCTGCTGTGGGGCCGGAGTCCTGCTGCTGTGGGAAGACCGTGTCTATGGGGCGGGGGAGAGTCTTGCTTCGGCGGTGTGGAGGCCCCTGCTGTGGGCAGAGACTCTTGCAGCAGTGTGGAGCCCCCTGTCCCTGTGAGGGCACAATTCTGGGGTTCCTGCTTCTGCTCCGCTCCATCCCAGCAGCTGTCACTGCGCAGTCACACCCAGTCCCGCTCTTTGCTCCCACCGGCCCTGTGACATCCTCCGGCTGCGCTGCGGAGATCCAAGCAGCGCCCTGCTCTCAGCTCCCCCTCCTGGCCCAGGATCCCAGGGTTTTGCTGCGGTCTCCTGCACGTGACTCCATCTGGGTCCCGGGATCGGGATCGCGGTGCGGTCGCCTTCTCGTGGCTCCTCCGGAGGAAGCCCAAAGGCCCTGTGGTGCTGGAACCTGAGGAAGTGCACTAGGGAGCTGCACCGGCACACACCACACACAGAACAGGGATACCCCATGACGTGTGCAGTACAGGGACACCCGTGACGTGTTCTGGAAGGTTCTAAGCGCGCACCTAGGGGGGGCGGTCTTGAGGCCAAGCCTGAGGTCCCAAGGTCAATGGGGCGGTTGAGGCCAAGTCTGAAGTCATGAGGTCAATACCCAGGGCAGGAGCAGACTCAGGTCACAGCAAAGATCCCCAGCTCTCGGGCAGGGAGGGGTGAGGTGAACAGGTGGCCGTGGCTGAGACCATGGTAAAGGGAGACACCAGAGATAGGAGAGGGGAGGGCACAGAATGCAGGGGAGAGGGGAAGACAAGGGAAGGCATTGGAGGGAGGGAGAGGGAAAGCAGGGCTGGGGAGAGGAGGGGAAGAGGAAGGGAGGGGAGCACAGAGCGAGGAGTGAGGCCCCTGAGGAATCTGTTGGACGGGGCCCAGACCACAGGTGGCTTGAGGATCCGGTTCCTGAGTGGAGAGGCGGGGTCACGGGGTTATCTGGCACTCACTCGGGATCAAGGGGTTATCAGTCGTGGGGAGGAGGCACGGGCCAAAGTGCAGATCAAACATCCGAGCCATTGCCACACAGCTGTTTGTCCCCAGGGGCCAGTGGCAGCTGCAGTCCAGGGTCCTGACTTGGCGTCTGGCGTCTTTGGGGTCTGCGGTTGAGCAGGCAGCTCTCCCTCACCCCTCCCGCACCCTCACCCCTCCCTGCAGTGGGGTGGGGGATCATCGACTGCAAGTGACTAGCGACCACCTGGTGCGGTGCATGGTGAGTGATGGCAGGGTATCCTGGGGACACAGAGGCCACCTCTGTGCCCCCCACGCTGCCTGGGTGTCCCCCCAATTACTTCGGTATCCCCCCAACTTCCCAGGTGCCCCCCATTAGCTCGCTGCTCTCCCAACTGCCTCCCTGTTCCCCCCTCCTGGCTGCCTTGGTGTCCCCAAAGTTCCTCGGTGTCCCCCCAATTACTTCGGTATTCCCCGACTGCCTCCCCCTGCCTCAGTGTCACCCAAACAGCCTTGATGTCCCCCCCCAGCTGCCTCGTTGCCACCACCACCCCCCCGTCCACCTCGGTGATCCCCCTCCAGGCTGTCTTAGTGTCCAGTCCAGCCTGGCTGACCTGGTGTCCTTCCGCCCGGATCGTGACCCTCCTCCGCTGTCTCAGCGCCCCACCCCACGACCTCGGTGTTCCTCTCAGCTGCTTCGTGTCCGCGTCCCACCTCTCGCCGGCCTCCCCCGGTGGTCACTCATCCCCGGGAAATGGGATCCACCGCGGCGGCCAGACCAGCTCAGCTGGGAACGCTGCCCGCCCTCCAGGGCAGCAAGGCTGAGCCGGTCCTATTCGGTTGCAGCAGCTCGTCCGACCCCATCGAACCCCAGGACCGAGGACCGAGCAAAGCAGGGGCGGGAGGGCGCGGACACGGACGTCACGGGCTCAGGGCATAAGAATGCAGTGACCGTCTGTTGTACCGACTGTGTGCACAACTATGGCCTGACTGTGCGCGTCGTCACAGCGACCACACCCCCGCGGGACCGGAGGCCTTGTCTTGGGCAGAAGGGCGCCCGGCCGGCCTGGCGTCAGCAGCTGCAGAGTCCTCAGGACCCATCACTCTTACCGATCTTGCGAGCCTGAAGACTTGCTGAGGGAAGGGCACGGTGACAGGGGCCTCAGGTCAGTGACTGAGCGGGACTGGACTGGGGGTGGTGGTCAGGGATGTCACATGGAAGCGGTCCGAGATCCAGGGGGTCGTATGCGGGAGACTGTGAATCCCGGGACTCAGGGGGTCACATGGGGGAGCGAATCCCGGTATCCAGGGGAAGTCACATGGTGGGGATTCGTGGATCCTGGGACTCAGGGGAGGATTACATGGAGGGGAGCAGGGGTCCGGGGCCCAGGGGCGATCACATGGGGGAGAAAGGGGATCCCGGGAGGGGGCAGGTGGTCACATAGAGTGGGAACCCCTGGTGTCCCCCCCACCCTCGAGGCTGAATGTGACGCATCCACAGCAGATGTCCCATGTCCTGAGCTTCACGCGGTGTTGGCCAGCTGAGACTGAGCACAGGGTCCTTTACATCCATTTTGAGTGTGTGTGTGTGTGTGTGTGTGTGTGTGTGTGTGTGAGTGTGATACAGCCTGTAGCATAACACTCATCTCCTTTCCACAGATGGGAAACTGAGGCAGGACGGTGAGGACCGTGTGAAGACAACCTCGCCCAGCCCCAGCCCGGCCCAGCCCACCCACCCACGCAGGACTCTCGTGTCTACCCCTACTCGTGTCCGCCTGCTCCCTTGCCCTCACTAGGTCTTGTGTGTGCCTGTCCACCTCTCCCCTTGCAAAGGAGCCCCGTCCTGCTGCCTCAGTTTCCCCTTGCCCTGGGCATCAGAGTCAGGGATTCCGTTTTTCTTCGGCGGCTCCGCGTGGTGTACCCTGCCCTGTCCCGCTCACCCACTGGAGACCTCTCTCTCCGAAGCCACAGCCCCCATGGGCGCTGCAGGTGGCTTACAGAGCCCTAACTGCGGCAACTCAGACTGGATGGCGCTGCTGTGCCCGCGGCTCTGGGATGTCCCCCTGCACCACCTGTCCATCCCGGGTAAGGGGGGACCCACACTCTCGGGGGTGGGGGACGCAGGGGCTGCCCCGGGCTTCCGGGAGGACAAAGCAGGCGGCCAGGCCATCACACGCGGGTGTGGACACGCGGGGGGCCTGGGCAAAGCCACAGGCTCGGCTTCGGCTTCTGCATCCCCTCGGCTTCGTGGGTGCGGGGCCCATGCTGGGGTCTGGTTTCTGTGTCCCTGCGGACTTCATCCCCTGCAGCCCAAACCCTGAGTGAGTGGAGGCTGGAAGCCATGGGCAACCTGTCAGTCACTCAGACAAGCGGCCCTGGAAGCCAGAGATGGAAGTGAGGAGGCATGGTGTTCCTTCCCCACAACAGGAGGGGACACCCCCCAAACGGCAATGAAGCTTCTAGAAGGATTGAGAGGAGGTGGGGGGGCGTGGGTGACTTGGGTGGGACACGGGGAGCCCCGGTAAGCGCCGCGCCAGCCCAGTTATCAGAGACGCTGAGTGAGGCCCTGTGACCTGCGTGGGGAAAAGGGGAAGGGGGGGCGGACAGACCGACCGGACGGGCAGATGGCCCTCTGACAGTAGGATGGGCCACAGACGGCTGAACCCTCTCTGGGCTCTGTGGGGTCGTGGATGCCAGAGAAAGCCAGCAGTGACACGCGTGTGTCCGCAGGGAGCCACGACACCATGACCTACTGCCTGAGCAGGAAGTCCCCCATCTCCCAGGCACGGTCGCGGCTGCTGCATCTGTTGGGCAGGCTCGCGCCCTGCATCACAGGCCCCATGGTGCTGAAGTGGTCCGTCACGCAGGTGAGATGGGCGCGGGGGGGGGGCCTCCCGCGGGCCGGGAAATCCTGGTGAACAGGTGGAGCGGGACCCCAGTATGCCAGGCTTTAGTCCTGGGGATGGGGGTGGGCGAGGAGGACATGGCGGGGTAGGGGCAGCCTCGTCCGCACCAGAGGGTCTGAGCGCTGTGTCTTGTCCCAGGTGTCCAGGCGGGTGCGGACACAGTGAGTTGGGAGCCTCTAGGTTGGGGTTAAGGGACCTGGAGATGTACAGGCGTTCTGAGGAGGGGAACTAGAGGGATTAGGGGGCCAGGTGGCGTACAGGGGTTGCAGGGGAGGGGTTAGGGAACCTGGAGAGGGTTAGGGGTTTGGGGAGGGGACTGTAAGTCCCGGGGGAGAGGTTAGGGGACCAGGTAAATATATACTGGGGAGCGGGGCTGTGGGCCCCAGGGCGGGGTCGGGGGGTGCGGGCTTAGGGCACCAGGTACTGTGCAGGGTTCGGGTTGCGGCACCCCGGGAACGCACGGTCTGCTGCAGGCCCTGGACGTAAAGCAGCAGCTGGACGAGGGGGTGCGGTACCTGGACCTGCGCATCGCGCACATGGCGGGAGGCTCCAAGAGGAACCTGCACTTCGTCCACATGATTTACACGACGGCGCTGGTGGAGGTGGGGGACTGGTGATCACGGGGAGGGGTGGAAGGGAAGGGGGTCGGGAGAGGGGGAGGAGGGCAAGGGGAGGGGCGGAAGGGGTTGGGGGCGGGGAGAGGAGGGAAGGGCGGGGTGGGGTGGGGGAAACGGAGGCGGAGACTGGGGGACTGGGTGGAGCAGGACCCCAGTAAGCCAGGCTCTGTGACGCGCGTCGCCATGACGTCCCCAGGACACCCTCACGGAGATCTCCGAGTGGCTGGAGTCGCACCCCCGTGAGGTCGTCATCCTGGCCTGTAGGAATTTCGAGGGGATGACGGACGAGCTGCACGAATACCTCGTGGGCTGCATCAGGAACATCTTTGGGGACATGCTGTGCCCGCGCGGGGTGAGTTGCGGTGTGGGCGTGTGGCCGCTGGGGGCGTGGGCCCCGCACCATCATGCCGGTGGCCTCACGCTGCCCCTTCCACGCAGGCCATCCCCACGCTGCGGCAGCTGTGGGCGCGCGGCCAGCAGGTGATCGTGTCCTATGAGGATGAGGCCTCCGTGGGTCGCCACGCGGAGCTGTGGCCGGGAATCCCCTACTGGTGGGGGGACAAGGTGAAGTCGCAGGCGCTGCTGCATTACCTGGAGACCATGAAGAGCTGCGGTCGCCCGGGTGATTCGCGGGACACGGCCCCCGGGGCGGGGCGGCCGGCTGTGAGGATGTCACCTGTCAATCGGGTCACAGTGTCAAGTCACGGTCTCACAGGCTGTGCCGTGGACCCCCGTGTCACACCGCCCCTCCCTTCCAGGTGGCCTGTTCGTGGCGGGCATCAACCTTACGGAGAACGTGGAGTATGTGCTTGCACACCCGTCCGGGTCCCTGGAGAAGATGACACTGCCCAACCTCCCGTCCCTGAGCGCATGGGTGCGCGAGCAGCGGCCGGGGCCTGGCTCCCGCTGCACCAACATCATCGCGGGGGACTTCGTGGGCGCCGACACGTTTGTGAGTGACGTCATCGGACTCAACCTTAAGCTGCTGTGATCCTGATCACCCCCCCACAGCGACCCAAGGTGCGGGGCTCAGGACAAGGCCAGGGTCCCAGAGGTCAAGGATCGTGAAACACTGGAAAGCGGTGTCCCTTCGTCCCTTGTGAAGGGCTGAGGCCTGAGTGAGTTAGCCTGCGCCACACGAGTGGGTGCAGGTTTTGAACTCGCAGAGCCTGCAAGGCTGCCTCATGGTCATTTCCGGTCACTGGGACACGTGCAGACAGAAGTTCCAGAGAGATCCATGTCACACCCCAGAGTCCATGGAGGTCACGTGACCCGCCACAGGCAGTCATTCTGGGCCTGCATCACCCTTCGATCAGCACCATTAATTAAAATCTTCTGAAGCCAACCGTGTCTGTGACAGTGTGTTTGTGTAGTGTCTCCTGTAGCCTAGGCTAGACTCTCATCACGGAGATGCGGGGGACAGACTTGGACTCTGTCCCTCCTGCCTCAGTTACCACAGGAACCACCACCCCACCTAGTTTGTACGGTGCATGCAAGGTGAGCACTCTACTGAATCACAAACACCCAACCACTGAGTAATGAGCACCCAACCACTGAATCACGGGCACCCTGCCCACTGAGCCACGGGCACCCAACCTCTGAGCCACGGGCACCCTGACCACTGAGCCACGGGCACCCTGACCACTGAGCCACGGGCACCCTGCCCACTGAGCCACGGGCACCCTGACCACTGAGCCACGGGCACCCTGACCACTGAGACACGGGCACCCAACCACTGAGCCACGGGCACCCTGACCACTGAGCCACGGGCACCCTGACCACTGAGCCACGGGCACCCTGACCACTGAGCCACGGGCACCCAACCTCTGAGACACGGGCACCCTGACCACTGAGACACGGGCACCCTGACCACTGAGACACGGGCACCCAACCTCTGAGCCACGGGCACCCAACCACTGAGACACGGGCACCCTGACCACTGAGACACGGGCACCCTGACCACTGAGCCACGGGCACCCTGACCACTGAGCCACGGGCACCCAACCACTGAGCCACGGGCACCCAACCTCTGAGACACGGGCACCCTGACCACTGAGACACGGGCACCCAACCACTGAGACACGGGCACCCTGACCACTGAGACACGGGCACCCAACCTCTGAGCCACGGGCACCCAACCACTGAGACACGGGCACCCTGACCACTGAGACACGGGCACCCTGACCACTGAGCCACGGGCACCCAACCTCTGAGCCTCGGGCACCCAACCACTGAGACACGGGCACCCAACCACTGAGACACGGGCACCCTGACCACTGAGACACGGGCACCCTGACCACTGAGACACGGGCACCCAACCACTGAGACACGGGCACCCTGACCACTGAGCCACGGGCACCCTGACCACTGAGCCACGGGCACCCTGACCACTGAGTCACATCCTCTGCTTGTTGAGAATTTCCACCGTCTCCCTGCACAGAAACCTGACACATGACTCATGACTGTGTCCTCAGTATTAGTGCATTTTCAGGTCAGAGAGTTAAAAGGTGTCACCCCAGGCTGGATTCCTCCACCCCAGCCTGCAGGGGTGCTACAGAGTCTGCAGCTGAGAGGATGGTAGTGTGTCCCTGTCACATGATTCAGAGGCCCCATTAGGATGTGGGGTGGGGAAGCGACCTCACTTGTGTCTGTCCACCCCTTAGGGACCCTCCATGCCCACCTCCCCCAGTGACATGGACCCTCCACATGGCCCAACACAGTCATGCTGAGAAGAAGGGAGAGCGTGCAAATTCTGCTTTAATGAGCTGCCAGTCATTCTGGGAGAGAGGGAGGGGAGAGACTATTAGTTGTCATCAGAGAACAGCTTCTGGAACCTGCCATGGGCCCGGCTGATGACGATGGCGACGATGACGGTGACTTGAGCAGCGGTGGTCTCTCTCAGGCAGCTCCCGCACCAGCTGCACGATGGCCTCCTTGTACAGCCAACTGTGGGAGAGGGGCGGTCAGCGTGGTACCGGTGTTCCCCAGCACCACAGTTGGTGTTCCCCACCATGGCAGCCGGCAGCCTTACCTGACCCCATGATGTACGGGGGCGCCCTCCCTTCATGGTCCAGCCAGGCAGAGCCGCGGGCTGCTCAATGTAGACCCGGGGTTTAGGCGATTAGTGGATCCCTGCCGGCCAGAGCCAAGTCCTCCCAGGGGTCCCACCGCCGAGGAGGTGCACATTCGGGGGTCTCTGCACGGGAGGGGACACTGGACACCACGGCAGCGAGTCTGTGGAGATGGACATGCACCAGGAATGACCAGTGACCCGCCTGGGATCTGTCGAAGACCTCCACCGCCCAGGCGGCCCCCAGCTCCTTCTACAGAGAGGCGGGCACATGGGGAGTCAGGGGACCCGTGCCTGCGGCCACGCTCGGGAGGAAGGAGTGGCCGAGGCTCTGCAGGTCCTGTTCTCACAGCCGACCACCCGCCGTCGTCAGACAGAAGCGCCCTCCGCAAGCACACGCTGCCGCCACACCTGGGTCTTCTCCGGTGGGTAGAGAAGGTTGTTCCATCAGAGGTGGGCTGTCCCGGGGCTGCACATCCTACACACAGAGGACCGCACACATGGACACGGAAGACTTACACACGCACAGAAAGGGCAGCACACGCATGCACACGGGGGACTGCACGGACAGGAGCACGGTGTGTGCGCGTGTGCGCGTGTGTGTGTGTGTGTGCGTGCGTGTGCGTGCATGCGTGGGGGGCCGGCAAGCTTCTGAAGGCATCGGGTTCCCGCGGCCAGACTGAGGCTGTGCGGGACCTGCACGGGGACCCACGGTGCTCCAGGTGACTGACATTTCGTCCTTCTCCCTCCTACCACCCACCAGTGCTGGGCCTGCCCTGAGGCCCACGAGGGGGGCTCGTGTCCCCCGGGACCCACCACACGGCCTGATCTCCGCTCTGCTGCCCACGGGGGTCCGGTCGGAGGGGTCGGGGCGACCCACCCGTCAGGACCTGGAAGTTGCCCTTGCGTTAGACGAGCCTGCCGTCGGGGGCTCTGGTGGGCAGCACCGCCGACCAGGCACGCAGCGCATGCGGCAGCAGGGCGGCGGCCTCCGTCATCTGCCACTCTGAGAGAGGACAGACGGCTTCTGTCGGGGGCCGCGGCTCACACAGACCCCGGGGCGGCGGGCGACAGGAGGGGAACCCCCGAGCATCGCGGAAGGTGCTGCAGAAGCCACCAGTGCGAAGCCCGGTCACCCAGGCCCCGCCCCACGCTCCCCAGGCCCCGCCCCACGCTCACCCAGGCCCCAGGCCCCGCCCCACGCTCCCCAGGCCCCGCCCCACGCTTACCCAGGCACCATGCCCCGCCCCACGCTCACCCAGGCCCCAGGTCCCGCCCCACGCTCCCAAGGCCCCGCCCACGCTCCCCAGGCCCCGCCCCACGCTCACGCAGGCCCCAGACCCCGCCCCACGCTCCCCAGGCCCCGCCCCACGCTCCCCATGCCCCGCCCCACGCTCCCCAGGCCCCGCCCCACTCTCCCCAGGCCCCGCCCCACGCTTACCCAGGCCCCGCCCCACTCTCCCCAGGCCCCGCCCCACGCTCCCCAGGCCCCGCCACACGCTTACCCAGGCAACGCCCCACTCTCCCCAGGCCCCGCCCCACGCTTACCCAGGCCCCGCCCCACGCTTACCCAGGCCCCGCCCCACGCTCGCCCAGGCCCCGAGCCACGCCCCAAACTCCGCCCCCTCCCTGTGCTCATCGGTTTCGCCTCCACCGGCTTGTCCACCACCTTCCTTGCTCGTGGCTCCGCCTTTTCAGGCATCCCGGCCCAATCAGCCTGTCTCGGTCAGGTCCGCAACCTCTCCCTTCCGGCTTCAGTACGCACTTCCGCCCTAGTACCCCGCCTCTTCCGTGACTCCGCTCCACCGCCTCCCTCGCCTTCACGCCCCTCCGGGAGGGTCTCCGCCCCCTCTGGCGTCTCCGCTTGTTCCCGCCTTCACCCTTCCGGTGACCTGTGTTCCGCCTTCCCGCCCCTCCCGGGGGTCCCCGTTCCTTCCGGCTTCGCCGCCCGGTCCCGCCCTCGCCCTTCCGGTGACCTGGGACGCGAGGCGTCCTTCCGTCCGGGCGCTTGACGTCAGGACGCACACGCGCAGGGAGGCGGCGTGCGGCAGCAGCTCTGCGCTCAGCAGCTCCTCCTCCTTCTCGGGCTCCACCCCCTCCCTCTCCGCCCCTCGCCCCGCCCCTCGCCCCGCCCCTGTCGTGCGAGCAGCCCCTTCCCCGGCTCCCGAGGTCCTGGACGTCGGCGATGACCGCGGGTGGCACCGGCCGTGGCGGAGACGGCGCGGAGCTCCGAGCGGCAAGGCCGCGGCGTAGGAACCAGAGGGCCAGGAGGGACGAGAGACGCCATGGAGAACTTGCGGCGTGCGCGCGCGCCTGGGGGCGGGGCCGGGAGGGGAGGCGCGAGCCGGGCGAGCACCCCTGAGAGTTCCAGTCTCGCTCCGGGGATGGGGGGGGGGAAGCGAGAGGGCACCTGGGCCCGGCGGGGGCGCGATGACAGGAAAGTGTTGGTCGGTCGCGGGCGAGCGTGTCCCCACGGGAGCGGTGACTGGCACCTCCTGGAGGGGGCGGGGCCTAGGCCGAAAATCCCGTGGCTCCTTTCTGCTAGAGTTCGGGTCACCGAGTGGAGTCAACTCTTTACACTGCAGTCATTATACCTGTCACCTGCACACCCGGGGTCTCACACCTGTCACCTGCACACCTGAGGTCTCCACCTGTCACCTGCACACCTGAGGTCTCCACCTGTCACCTGCACACCCGGGGCATCACACCTGTCACCTGCACACCCGGGGTCTCACACCTGTCACCCGCACACCTGAGGTCTACACCTGTCTCCTGCACACCCGGGGTCATCACACCTGTCACCTGCACACCCGGGTCTCACACCTGTCACCTGCACACCCGGGTCTCACACCTGTCACCTGCACATCTGGGGGCATCACACCTGTCACCTGCACACCCGGGACATCACACCTGTCTCCTGCACACCCGGGGTCATCACACCTGTCACCTGCACACCCGGGTCTCACACCTGTCACCTGCACACCCGGGGTCTCACACCTGTTACCTGCACACCCGGGGTCATCACACCTGTCTCCTGCACATCCGGGTCTCACACCTGTCACCTGCACACCCGGGTCTCACACCTGTCACCTGCACACCCGGGGTCTCACACCTGTCTCCTGCACACCCGGGTCTCACACCTGTCTCCTGCACACCCGGGGTCATCACACCTGTCACCTGCACACCCGGGTCTCACACCTGTCACCTGCACACCCGGGTCTCACACCTGTCACCTGCACACCTGAGGTCTCACACCTGTCTCCTGCACACCCGGGGCCATCACACCTGTCTCCTGCACATCCGGGGTGTCACACCTGTCACCTGCACACCCGGGTCTCACACCTGTCACCTGCACACCCGGGGTCTCACACCTGTCACCTGCACACCCGGGTCTCACACCTGTCACCTGCACACCTGAGGTCTCACACCTGTCTCCTGCACACCCGGGGTCATCACACCTGTCTCCTGCACACCCGGGTCTCACACCTGTCACCTGCACACCCGGGTCTCACACCTGTCACCTGCACATCTGGGGGCATCACACCTGTCACCTGCACACCCGGGACATCACACCTGTCTCCTGCACACCCGGGGTCATCACACCTGTCACCTGCACACCCGGGTCTCACACCTGTCACCTGCACACCCGGGGTCTCACACCTGTTACCTGCACACCCGGGGTCATCACACCTGTCTCCTGCACATCCGGGTCTCACACCTGTCACCTGCACACCCGGGTCTCACACCTGTCACCTGCACACCCGGGTCTCACACCTGTCTCCTGCACACCCGGGTCTCACACCTGTCTCCTGCACACCCGGGGTCATCACACCTGTCACCTGCACACCCGGGTCTCACACCTGTCACCTGCACACCCGGGTCTCACACCTGTCACCTGCACACCTGAGGTCTCACACCTGTCTCCTGCACACCCGGGGCCATCACACCTGTCTCCTGCACATCCGGGGTGTCACACCTGTCACCTGCACACCCGGGTCTCACACCTGTCACCTGCACACCCGGGGTCTCACACCTGTCACCTGCACACCCGGGTCTCACACCTGTCACCTGCACACCTGAGGTCTCACACCTGTCTCCTGCACACCCGGGGCCATCACACCTGTCTCCTGCACATCCGGGGTGTCACACCTGTCACCTGCACACCCGGGTCTCACACCTGTCACCTGCACACCCGGGGTCATCACACCTGTCACCTGCATATCTGAGGTCTCCACCTGTCACCTGCACATCTGGGGGCATCACACCTGTCACCTGCACACCCGGGGTCTCATACCTGTCACCTGCACACCCGGGTCTCACACCTGTCACCTGCACACCCGGGTCTCACACCTGTCATCTGCACACCCGGGGTCTCACACCTGTCACCTGCACACCCGGGGTCATCACACCTGTCACCTGCATATCTGAGGTCTCCACCTGTCACCTGCACATCTGGGGGCATCACACCTGTCTCCTGCACACCCGGGGCCATCACACCTGTCTCCTGTACATCCGGGGTGTCACACCTGTCACCTGCACACCCGGGTCTCACACCTGTCACCTGCACACCCGGGGTCTCACACCTGTCACCTGCACACCCGGGTCTCACACCTGTCACCTGCACACCCGGGGTCTCACACCTGTCACCTGCACACTCGGGTCTCACACCTGTCACCTGCATATCTGAGGTCTCCACCTGTCACCTGCACATCTGGGGGCATCACACCTGTCACCTGCACACCCGGGGTCTCACACCTGTCACCTGCACACCCGGGTCTCACACCTGTCACCTGCACACCCGGGGTCTCACACCTGTCACCTGCACACCCGGGGTCTCACACCTGTCACCTGCACACCCGGGTCTCACACCTGTCACCTGCACACCCGGGGTCTCACACCTGTCACCTGCACACCCGGGGTCTCACACCTGTCACCTGCACACCCGGGGTCTCACACCTGTCACCTGCACACCCGGGGTCTCACACCTGTCACCTGCACACCTGGGGCATCACACCTGTCACCTGCACACCCTTTGAGCACACAGCACACTCTGACCTGAGGCCCCTGAACTAGAAACTTGAGCCGCGGTCAGGATCACTGGGGCATCAGATGCTGTTCCTGGAACGAGAGAGAGGAAGGCGTCCCGGACTGTCTCCCGGTGGCCCACGTGGACACCTCACGGACACCCAGGGGCTGTGACGCCACTCCCTGGGCTCCAGCACAGGCATGTGTAGGACATGGGACATGTGTCCTCAGCACCGGTGCAATGCGGCCCCACAGACACAGTTGAGTGACTGTGTGTGTACAAGGGTCTCACGCTCAAGGCCACCTGCGTGGGCTCCGGTCATATGCCCCACACGGGTTCCTGGCACGGAACTCGGGTGTGTGTTTAGCTGTGGAGACTGCCTCGTAGCCCAGCTGTGACATCACGAGCATCTGACTGTGCGCTGCCCCATCCACGGGTCTGCATGCGGTTCACCAATGATACCCGACTACTCTACCCATGCGTGTCTGTGCACCGCATATGCGCAAATGTCTGACTATGCGCCAACCCCGGGCTGCTGCTGCTGCTGCTGCTGCACAACGGAGCCGGGATGAAAAATCTCCGAAATTCTTCATTCAAAACTACAAACGTGCCGGGCGTTGGTGGCGCACGCCTTTAATCCCAGCACTTGGGAAGGACACCTCCTGAAACAATGACAACACCAATAGACAAGATGGAAGGGCAATGCCACGGCGTCTCAACCCTAGATGAAGAACTACAGGCAACCAGTGACTGCTGAGAGAGGGATGAGCCCCCTAACTTACTATCCAACGCCAAGTAGCTTTGAAATCATATATACACAAGCAACGCTTAAGGGGACTCAAGATTACACCAATATATTTATGTTTATACACATACATATAGTGATAATAATAAAAAGATGTCATCAACTTTAGAGAGGGAGGAAGGAGAGGTGGACATAATGTAGTTATAGCTTTACTGACTTAAAAATAAGTTGTTATATAATTCAAAGATAAATAAGACACTCTGGCTCAGAATATATATACTCAGTAAACATTGCCTGTTATGTCAAAGTGAGGATAGTCAGGCAATGATTTCCAAAAGTCTAAATTTTGAAAGATACATTCAAAAGGGAAGGTATTAATTTGATAAACTCACCATTCCTTCATAAATGTAATAGTTCATGCTTGGATGGTTTAGAAAAAAATTATCTCCTGTTTATTTATTCACTTGTTCATTTATTTAAATGGACATGTTGTGCCCAAGTTGCAAAGTTCCCAGAAACCGCCAGGAAGACAGACCCACTAAATTGTAAAAGCAAGGTTTTAATTGTTCATCCACCCAGGACAGGGACCCCGTCAAATGCAGCAGCCTCCAGAGGGAGCAGAGTTCCCTGTCTACTGCTAGGTTTTAAAGACAAAAGTTATAGGATTACATCAGTAGGTACGAGTTGGTTTCTGATTGGTTGACATTTGGGAACAATTAGGAGAATTTCTCAAAGTCTTATTTTGGCATGAAATACCTGTGTACCAATTATTCTCATTAGTCAGTGCTGAGAGGAAACATTCTGTGGTTCCTATGACATTGTCTTGTTACTTGCAGGTGGCCTGTTGTACACAGATACCAATAGTTTTCAGAACTATATCCTGAAGACTGCAGGGGAGGTTTTGGTTCCCCCATGGAGTTTCTTTTGTGGCCAAACAGTTCCCAGGAACCAAGCATCTAGGAGGCTGTGGGGGTGGGGGTCTGGAGTTTCTTTGTGTTCAGATCTGGCCCTAGACTCCAGGAGGCCAGAGGATCTGGAGTTTTCTTGTGTCAGAGGCCTACATGTCTTTTCTGTAGCCTGTCATGGCCGCTAAAGCAGGGGCTGAGTGAGGGTCTGGTCCCTTTATTTCTAAATTACTAGAAGTGAAGCCCTTGAGTTTAGTTTATACTTTTCACACACACTAGGCAAATACTGTAGCATTAGTTACATTCTCAGTACTAATTTGTAAATTAATATATTTGATAAGTTTTTAAAGAAATATAACACATTGATATTGTCAGAAATAAATACATAATGTTAAAATATTTTAAGTAAATGCTATGTTTTATAAATATTGAATTTTATTTTGGAGAAAAAATTACAAATTCTATCTTCTAAGTATAAATTTCTGTCAGTGAATGGAGTTCTCTATTGAGGTTTAGTAGTCTTATGTGTTTTTCAAGTGCTTAGCTTATGCAAAATAAAAAATTAAAAAAGGTAGGATTCTTGAAATAGGAATGAAACAAATGTCTTCAAGTTGAAACATTTGCTCTCAAGGCAAATGTTTTAGAGTGTGTGAGGCAATGTTTTAGAGTGTGTGAAGATGCCATGCAAAATGTCTATGTGTGTAAAAAGCTGCACTTGACATGAAATATGCAATGTAGTTCCAACACTTGAGTTGTATTAAGTATGAAAAAGTGACTGCTAAATGAGTGGATTTTATTTATTTACTTATTAGTTAGTTTAGTAATTCTCTTGGTCTCCAAGATTTCATCAGATGTGACTTAATGATGGGGCTGGAGAGATGGTTCAGGGGCTAAGAGCGCTGCCTGTTCTTGCATAGGTCCTTAGTTCTGTTCCCAGCAACCGCATGGTAGCGGCTCACAACTGTCTGTAATGGAGTCTGGTGCCCTCTTCTGGCCTGCAGGGACACATGGAGTCTGGAGCCCTCTTCTGGGCTTCAGGGATACATGCAGGCAGAATACTGTATTTGTAATAATAAATCTTTTAAAAATTGTTACTGATGAGGGTTTTTTTTTTAAAGTGATGAAGGCTGTTGGAATTTAGATTTCTTAGCTTCCTTACAAGTCTTGAGAAAGAACATGAAAGGTTACACCTTTCCTTTGTCCTTCTCTACCATTACTTCCTCCTCCCCTCTGTCCTCTTTTTCTTCTATCTGCAGATAAATGGAGATGGATTAAAAACAAAAATGGAGTCCATCACTGTGCCATATACCTACTATTCTTGTTATGTGGGAGCTGGGGCCAGGCGG